TTCTGGTGGCTGGAAAAGTTAGAAAACTGCACAATTTGTTGTAGTAAGTCATGAGACAGGAAATAACCAGTAGAAATTTGTTTTCCAGGACACTTATTAAAATGTCCAATAACAGCTATCCTGTTTTGATCAACAAGATGATAGAAAAAAAGAAAAGGTGAACGACTGTTCTTAGATATGTACAACAAAGAAAATTTCTCCCCATAATTTTCACCTTTCCAGAAGCTAGGAAGATCAATAAGGCACCAATCAATTCTAATAAGAACGGGAAAACACAAAGCAGGAAACCTCAAACTGCCTTTCATAAGAAAAGATGTGGTGGCATGAACAAGTGGGGAGAGAAAATCTTACTCCAGTGGTGCTGATGCTGAAATGACTGGCTAGCAATTTACAAGAAACAGATAACTACAAATAAAAATAAATCCCATAGAGAATAAATAATTAAATGTGTCATAAGTATATAAATTAAATAAATATGTCTGAACATAAAAGCAAGTGGAAGTCATAAAGTCACCTGAAAAAAAAAAAAGCTGAACTATGTATCACTTATCTAACTAAACATCAAAGTGGAATGGCTCCAGGAAGCCTTGCTGAAGACTCTAGCAGCTTGTCCTTTGTCCCTCTACTCCAGGCTGAACCTGAAGCTCAAGCTTCAGAAGATGAACTCCTGATGTATCTTTCCATGAGATTCTCCCAATGTCCTCTACACCCAGCCTCCCTTCTCCTTAAATAATTACCCGTTCCTGATGACAAGGTTTTCCCTTTAGTGTACCTGTTCCTACCATGGTGCTCCTGTTTCCCATTTTCCAACCTTTAGAGATGCTTCTTTGTAATATCTCAAGCACTTGACAGCAAAGAGAAAGGAGGTGATCAAGGAAGAGAGTTGGAGGATGGGTCTATAAGATAAAGAGGCTAAATTCCTACGTGGTGGCTAAAACAGGCAAGGCCGCACAGCACGCTATGAGGCACGGCTTCAAAAAATGTTTGTTCCTCTCTTCATCTGTTTACAAATATATGGCATATAATCACTTTACAAAAGCTGATATAAAGTAGAAAAGCAAAATACATCTATATAAAAACATAAAATTCATCTACTAATAAAAAACAAATCTTAAAACATTGGACTTTCAGGAACAGACTTAGCAATTCTAAAAAGTCACATACTACTCTCTGAGGCCACACACAGAACTCAGATTCAGTGCTGCTAAGTCAGACCTGACCATGGGTCTGATTTGGCCACTGGATAATTTTATTTTTATCACTTAACCTCTAACCCTTACTTTCCCAATTTAGGAAATGGAGCTAACTCAGTGATTTCATCAAACATACGAGGAGAGTTTTTGAAAATTACTATTTTCTAGTCTCTCCTCCCCAGAACTACAGAATCAGGATCTCAGAGATCTATAAATCTATAAAAGTCTTTACTTTTAAAATCTCCCCTAGGTGATCTGGACACAGTGAATCTGAGGGCTGGTAGTTGGAAGTGCTGAACCATCTCAACGGGTTATTACACCACCAGCCCACATCTCACCTTCCTCACTACTCCCTGAACGTACAACCCCTTTTCCCATGAGGAGGCAGGAAAACCAAGTGAGGTTTAGAATTGAGGAAGCTTCAGACATGGCCTGAGGGATGGCCAGCAAGGGTATTCTCCATCATGATGCTGATGGAGGGGGTCAGGCAAGAAGTCACATGTGAGCTTATCATGTCAAGGTGGTCCTCGGGCACATTTCTCATGAAGATACTGTGGTGGCTAAGAAAATGCCTGCTTAGATACAAGCCACTGCAGACCTCTGGTCTTGCTTGGAACCAGATCTCTCTGTTGGCATTAATTTCAAGGGGAAAAATGAGTTGCAATCTCCAAATGAACAGCCCATTGTTGTATACTGGAAGCTGCCAGCTCACAATAACAGGAACCCAATCCAAAATGCCTAGATCTGGCTTCTGGACTTATTCATTGAATCAGTTTTGTATTTCTTTTAGTAGAACCATGGAATTACACTGAACACCTTTCAAGTAACAGCTTTCTTTGAACCAACTGCCACATCAGCTCTGTCAATGACTATCTTTTGATTACAAGAGGTTAGGGGACAAAGAGCGATTTGTTAAAGAAATAGTTTCAAAAGGACCAATCAATCCCCTTGGATTACTAGTGGGCTTTTAAACAATTGTTAAAAATATGTGCTAAGAGTCAAAGGTTAACATAGGAACTGACATCACTTGATATGATAATGCAAAAGAACCCCAAGCATTTAGTTCTGGTGTGTGCCCACATGGTAGTTAGCAATAGGCATGAACATTTCAGTTTTTATTCCTCTTGGTCAAATTATGTTGTTGAATTGCTCTCTATTCCCTCTGCTAAAACCCCAACTTGCACTCAAGTTGGCATATACAGTAAGTATCATCAGGATAACAATGTATGTTTACAAAGTGTTTCTGTTTTCAAAGGGCTTTCACAATATTATTATATCTGTTTCTTGAAAATCACCTGAAATAGGCACATGTGATATTAGCCCCATTTTATAAATGGTGGCTAAGTCAGCAGTCACTGAATTCACAGATAGGGAACATGTCCCACCTGTCCAAAGGCCAGAAGAGCAACAGGACATCAGGTGGCTGTGAGTGGAGGCCAGACTATAGTGGGCTTGATTGTTCAGGTTCTTAACCAATCCAGCAGGCAATGGGATTTTTCATCTAGGAAGTGATTAGATTTGTATTACAGGAAGACAGACAACAACAGGAAGGATGTAAATAATCACTAAAAAGAGGTGACATGACAAACAAGTGCCAGGTTTGGATTACAAAAGGTAAAATGTTATACTTGCAGCTCCTGTTGATTCCAGAAAACAACCACATTTCAAACAACTCTGGGGGAGGAACCAACTAAGTGAGGCTAAGGAATGGTGGCCACATCCTTCTCAGACGCTCTTGGGTTCCTCAGGTTGCTAACATCTTCCACCATCTATGCCTGGAGGTGGTAACCTAAGGCCCAGTGTCTTTGGTGCCCTCCACTCTATCCTTTTGTTTACTTTTAGCTCATCAACATGATACCTTAGGGAGGCAACCTGGCCCTAGTCTGTTCTTTCCATGAGTCAAAAAAAGTAGACCCACAGAAGACCACAGCAAAATCCTAGGAAGAACATGCACCAAATTCGTTCACTCACCAAATAGTTCTTCAGACCCTACTATATCCAGGCATTGTTCTAAGTAGGAGGATACAGCAATGAATAAAGAAAAAGCCCAGCTCTCAGGGACCTTCCATTAGGACATCTCCTGCCTCAGGGCCTTCATACTTTTTCTTTGCCTGGAGCACTCCACCCCCAGAAATCCACGTGAGTCAACCACCCTCATCACACTTGTACCACCTTCCCTGAATCGTCCTTCTCTCCTTTTATTCCCATTCATAATACTTATCACCACCTGACATATGTTTTTCTTACTTTTTCTTCTTTAATTATTTTTCTCCTCCTACTAGACTTTAAGCTCCAGAAGGGCAGGGGCTTTTGTCTACTTTCTTCACGATTGTATTCCTAGTGCCTATAACTGGCATATAGTACATATGAAATAAATCATGCAAGTTCACTGACATGATTAAAAAAGCCTCAACACACAGGCCTCTAGCATTTGTTTGTATTCATGATTATAAGACGCATATATCTGCCTGCACAGCTTTGTCTTTGAAGGAAACCAAACTATCCCTTTTGAAAATACTAAGGATTATTGAGCTAAAGGTTAAAACATAGTGAGACATTCTTCCCCATTCTTCCCCTCTCTCTGCTTGTTTGGGCTGGACAGCAATTTACAAAGACAAAAAAACAGGTCTTCCTCATTTCCACTTTGCCTTTTCTAGCCCAAAGAGAGGCCCCTTTATAATGTTTGCTTATAAGCTCAGAGACAAGGAGGGCAGAGAATCTAGGAGTAGACTTTATTCTTCCCATAAATTTACCTTCCTACATTTTCCCACCTTTTAGAAGCCTGAAGATGCTCTCTACTTTGTCTTGTCTCTTTAGAATTTATGGCTGTTTGTTAAAATACTATTTAAGCAAGGGTCCTAAGCCACTGCCTTGACAAAGAAATACCCCTGAACTGAGGCTTCTCCCATATCAATAAACTTCGGCTGCAGTTTTTCCTGTTTATCTGACTTATGTTTTTGGTAGTATCTCAATTAAGAACCGTGTAAGGGAAAAAAATTATATTTCCTCCCCTTAATCTTGGAAATGAAACTTGGAAATTCCTAAATGTCTAAATTGTAGGCATTTATTCTTACTTTACCTAGTCTGTTTTAGATCTCTGTTCTTTAACTAAATAGTTCACTCCTCTTATGTTGTCTTTAGACTTAAGTGTCCTATTCTTTTCATACTCAGGCCACTTACCATGAGACATTTCCCACAGAATCCATAGCCACTTACTATTTCCAGCTAAATGTATGTCTATTCATAATAACAAAATGGCTCTATAACACATAAGACTGACATCAAATTTCTAATCCTTATTCTTTCCAAATGCAATCTCTTTGAAGTTAAAAACAGCTAAATTAAATTTCCTACCTAATACAACTTTCCCATGCTCTTCCTCCAGTATTTCTTCTAAATGGTTGGTTTCCTAACTTGAGTTGCAGTAATTTTCAAGAGAGACATGAAAACACAAAGCCTGTGATACAGAAATAATTAAGTGCTGTGCTTTCTTCTTCTCTAGCTCCTGAGAAACACCAGCTAACAATGAGAAGTGATTGGGAAATGTCAGTAAAGCTGATCATAAGGCCTGGCTCTCCCACTGTTGCTATTCTCTGACCTGCTCACCACATGGAATTAGATCAGAATATGCTCTAAACTACAGAGCAACAGTCAAATGAAAGGTATAAAGCTTTTGGCTAAAAGCTCTCGAAATCATTCCTCAAAACACAGAGTAAAGTATACAGCAATTTTTTCCCTACCTGTACCCACTTAAACCAAGTACATTATAAACAGTACTTTTAAAAATAGATATATTTTGAAACATACCTTTGACTGTATTGTTCTCAGATTAACCAGATGAATGTCACAAGGCAAAGATGACAGTAATGGAGAGAATTCATCCAGTAGTTCAAGGGAAGGTGAGAAGGGCGTCCTTGCCATTATAAAGACTGGATGATTCATGAAAGAAGAAGTTATGTGGCTAAGGAGAGAAGGATAACTGACTGGATTCTTTTCTTCTTCCTATTAAGAAAAAAACAAAAATGCTTAAGAGCTCTATATTTGCAGTTCTCATCATTTTAAATAAATTCTCTGAGAGGTTTTAAATATAAATATATATACATATTTTTATTATACCTTATAAATAACAGTCTTAGAAATTACACCACTGAGTTTAGTTGTAAGCAATACAAGAAAATGAAGGGTACCTACCTAATTCATATGTTTACAACATCTCTTCCACTGATTTAATACTAAAATACTGAAAATATTTCCTACAAATGTTTTAGGACAAGACATGACTTTTTATGGATATTTTCAACCTACCACAAAACTCTCAAGGTATAAAGACTGAGATATTAATATATCAACACATTATCAAAGTTATCTCATTTCTCCCTCAGTTTTCATCCATCATATTTTCATGCTTTTATTTATACACTTAACAGGGATATAAAAGTATGTACTTATTCAAAGTTATATTCCATAAATGAATGGAGCTATACTCCAAACGATAGGAGCTAAATGTTATGTAATAATAGAATTTTAAAAAATGAAATTTTCAAAAGAAATTCTATCTTAAACAAAAAGAACAAAGGTGGCATAGTCTGATCATGATTGTTTTCTTTATACCTCATAAATCACTGTCAATTGACTTCACTCTATTTTATTCCAAAACAGAAATTGTTATATATTATTACTGAATAGTATATATCCAGTATAATGAAAATGCTTTAGTCTTTGCTATGATATACACTTACAGGCAACATTTCTATATATTCAAACATTTAAAATAATCTGCCAACCTTGGAGATATACTCATACGTATGCTAGATGACATACAAAATTAGTGAAATCAAGGACGAGGTGGAACCTTAACCAGTAATGCCTAAGGAGTAAACCAGACAGAAGGAAGAACTGAGAGGGGAAAATAATTTATACATAAAGGTCTTTTGATCACCAGCTAGATTTGAAGCAAATTTAATTTTGTATCTTATTTTTTAAAATGGCTACTTCACTGATATCTTCTGATTTTTGCATCCTTTTTGTAATACAGGCTCAAACAAAAGGCATGGCTACTTATCTGTATGAAAAGGCAGGATTTATAGAGATATAGAGCTTAAAATTCAGAATGTCAGATTAGCATTGCACAGAAGGGTGCTAGCAAAAAGTGACTAGCATCGTGCCAGCAGCTAACATTAGATGTCATTACAATTCAGACCATGGAGAGAGAAAAAAAAATTTTGAAGGCAGCAGAGGGACACTGCAATATTAAGATACTGACAAAAAAAAAATTAGGTTTGAAAGAGTTGTAAAAAAAATGTATCCATTCCATATTCTTTTTTAAAAGAAAGATTAAAAAAAGCATATAAAATAATATTCTTCAACAATACTGAAATTTAATGCAGCTTGTAGAATAACATGAATAAAGAGGGAACATTTTCAATAAGATACTTTAAATGTACTCCAAGATCAAAGGACTTCATAATCTAGGTCAGGATTGCTGACAAAATCACTTTTGAGTAATAAAAGATTCCAACAGAAAAGAAAACACCTGCCTTATCAGATTCGGTAGGTATAAAGTCCATTCTAACATTCAGAAAAAGCTCTGGCTTTGTCTTACACGCTTGTTGAAATTCCTGGACACTCCAGTGAATACACTTCTTGACTGATCTTCTATACCTTAGAAGCAGTAATGTACAAATATACCAATCCTCTAAATCAGATCAATCCTTATAACCTTTGGTACACCCCTCAAATTAACAATACAACAGAATGACCTGGGGAACCTTTAAAAAAACATAGATTCTTGCATCCTAGCCCAAATCTATGACTCAAAATCTCCAGAGGTAGAGCCCTGGGAAGGTGAAGCTTAAAAGCCTCCCAGGGAGAATCTCATGGCACACTGCTCCATGAAACTGTACCAGGAACTAACATCCCAGACATCCTCCCAACCTTCTAGAGGATACAGAACTCCTTTTAGAATCAAAAGATAAGTCTCATCTTTTAACTACTTTTGGATTTAAAAAAACAAGATTCAGACTTGAAGCTGCCCCGAGATGAAGGCTTGTAAAATGGAAACGATGTCACAAATGTAAGTACTTAAAGAATTAAGTACTTTGCCGGGCTCAGTGGCTCAGCCTGTAATCCCGTGCTTTGGGAAGCTGAGGTGAGTGAATTGCCTGAGTCTGTGGGTTCAAGACCTGCCTGGGCAACTTGGCAAGACCTCATCTCCACAATAAATCAAAAAAATTAGGTGGGCATGGTAGCGCACACCTGTAGTTCCAGCTACTTGGAAGGCTGAGGTGGAAGGATCACCGGAGACCAGGAGGTCAAGGTTGCGGTGACCAGGAGCAGTCACTCTACTCCAGACTAGACGACTGAGTGAGACTCCAACTCAAAAAAAAAAAAAAAAGAATTAAGTACTTAAGAACTGTGTAGTTTATTGTCCTTAGCAAGATAAGAAAGAGAAGTTTATAGAAGAGTTGTGGTTTTAGTGCCTTAAGTGCACCATGGACAAATACTGCTGGAGCCTGGCCAGGTGGGACCAAGTTTCACTCAGTGTTCCACCATTCACATATTTTCTTATATTTATAGCAACAAAGGGTTCACTAAGGTATTTAACTGTTGAACTATCAATGTTTTGATTAACCTCCTAAAAAGGTAATCTTTTAACTGTCTTATGATAAGCCCTAAGTTTATAAAGCATGTTTATTACTACAGAGAATTTTACGGTGTTTGTTTAGGCTATAAATGAATTCCCCAGTCTTGTACTAATACACAACTATAAATATTATTTTGTTTCTTGTTTGTTGGAAAGCTTCAGACTATATAAGTCTAGCTTTCTCTCTGCAGCCTGTCTGATATTAAAGAGAATTGGTAGCACTTTCAGATCCCAACCATAGAGAGCTGAGATTTTCCTCACTGGGTTCCAGCCCTTGTTCCACGAGTTGGTGCTTCTTGTCAGGCTCCTTAGTGCCCTTTAAAAAGCTCACTTGAGTTATCTCATCTTTAAACATCAGAGGCTTCCACTTGATCTACATCAAAAACTTGATTAATTATGTAAGATAGTGAAAGGTCATTTTTAAAGTCACCTTTGTTTACTCAGTTTGACCTGACACACGGTGGGAACTTAATAAATGCTTGTTGAAGTAAATCTATTCATTTAACAGGCAAATTCATATCAGTACATGAGAGAAGAATACTATTGAGAGGATGGATAGGGTAAAATGACAAAGAGGGAAATGAAGAAAAATATACTGAATCATAATATTTAGAGATAAACATTATCTAGCCCAAGGATGAAGACTGGTTGTTTGGAGGCCACATTTGTGTACAGACATATTGGGTAGGGCTGCATAGTATTAAAAAGTTGTTTGTTTTTCAGTCAACTCTTAAAATTATTTTCATACTAAAAAAGCAACCCAAAACCCCCAAAACAGATTTTTTTTCCCCAAGCAAATGGAAATTCGAGCAGGCATTAGTCCCTATGTGAAAAAAATCATCTGGAGCTGGTTTGTGGCTCGTAGTGGGATATGTGACAAGTTCCATAGACCCTCTCGTCATTTAACTTAAGCATCTGCTCTTAAACCTGGTCAATCTCCCTCATGCCATTACTTTCCTAAACCCTGGTAGCATTTAAGTTTCTAATCTACTCTCTCCCAACTTCCTCTCCTTATATGTACATAACTGATATCCAGAGGTAAAACACAATTGTAACACCTGAACACTTCCAGGATTTCTAATTCCTAGCTCAATCCTCCTTTACTATACCAACCATCAGAAGAAAAGGGGTAGGAAGAAATGGCCAAAGAAACAAATCCTAAAACAGTCAATGCCTAATTAGTAGAATACCACACACTAGGTAATTTAAAAAGAAATTTATTCAGTTCATGATTCTGGAGGCTACATAGCCCAAGAGCACGGCACTGGCATCTGATTAAGAGCCTTCCTGTTTGTTTTATACCATTGGCAGAAAGGCAAGATAGCACATGCTAGAGAAAGCCTGCTTTTATAGCAAAGCAATCCCACAATAACTAATTTACTCCTGTGATAACAGCATTAATCCATTCATGAGGGCTCTACCAAAGGCTCCACCTCTTAATGCTGCCACAGTGCAACCAAGTTTCTAGTACATGAACTTTTGGGGGACACATTCAAACCACAGCAATGCCAAACAGACAATTCTTATTTTCTGTCTCCACTGACCCTTGAGGATAATTAGCACGAATGGTCAACCTTATGCAGCCCCAGTCCTCCATTGGGCATTATATATTTTGCAGTGATTATCACTGAAGTCCTTTTCCTGACTCTCTGTCAAGGGTTCTGAGGACAGGACTCACTTCCATTTAATCAGCCCAGGATTATTTCCATGAGGCTATGGCAGGCCCTTCCTATCCAAGAAGCATCTCCCCACTTCACTTTTCACCATCATTATTTTAGACATTAGAGTTTGAGTTGGAATTAAAAACACTTTCTAGAAAATTTAGGTTATCGATGTTAAATTTCTTAATCAAATGTCTTTTTAATCAATTTCACTATAAATTAAATGCATTTTCTCTTCTCTAGTTCATTTTTTATTTAAAAGAAGGTATTGATTGAAGCTCCAGAATCAATAGTTAAGAAAAAGAAAAAGTTAACCAACATAGGATTGTAAAAACATTAGATCAAGTTTAAATCAATTACTATCCAAGAAATTTTGAGTGGGAATAAACAAATTATTTCACTTCTAAGTCAAAGCTTTAGAGATCTGACATGAAAGATCTGAACATTTTTACTGCCATAGTTAAAAGAAGTTCTGTAGATTAGTATCAATATAGAAAGACTATCATATAAGCCAGAAACATTTTCAGGAGGAGCAAAAGACAGTAGTTCCCAACATTCAGACAAAAATTTTCTTACGCAGTTTTCATCCTTAAAACTAAGCAATCTTGTCAGTAATTGATTTACGCCACAAGTTTCAAAGAACTGGTATAAATCTTGACATCTAAAATGGATGCGAATTCTTTTTTCTAAAACATTCTAAATACTAAAAAAATTCTTTGGTTTAATTAGCTGTTGCCATTTTATTCAATCAACTGGTATTTTATTTATAGAATGCCTACTGCAGGCAAGGAGGCCCTGTGGGACACATGAAAAAGGAGACAAGTCCCTGGAATCTAGTAGGGGGGATACAACATGCATGTGAAGCAAGGCAATAAGCAGAAATTGCAATAAATAAGCACATTCATGCTGTGACAGCTCAATCATCTATGCATTTGTATGTTCATTCATATGACATATATTAGGTGCTTCCTCTGCTAGGAACAATCCTAACAGAGAGAGCCATAATCCCCACTCTCACGAATTTTATTGTTCAAAGGAGGAGAAAAGACAATAAGCAAATGATCATATATGCATAAAGGTGATATGCTCAGTTCAGAAGGAGCATAGGAGAAGGATATTTGAATTGGTTCAGAAGAAGCAGATGAAGTAAGCCCTGATCTGAACTATTACTAAGAGTTTTGGGGCAGAGAAGATGACAGGTCATGTGCAAAGGTGCCACTGAGGACAGAGCATGGAAAATATTGGGGACCTAAAGAAAACAAGTAGGCCCAGAGCTGATGCAATAAGAAGCATCTAGGTACTAGGGGACAGGCAGGGTCTGTATCATGATGGGCTCTGCAGACCATGATGAGAATTTCCATTTTAATGCTGACAGCAATAAGAAGACCCCTGAGGTGTTCAGTAAGTTCAATAAGATTAGAATTAACTTTGAAAACAATAAAAAAATCAAAAGACACTCTGTTGTTAACTGGGTTAACAACAGTTATGGCAGAAAGAGGTAAACAGAGTAGATATAGGCCAGACTCGTGAAATACACAATGTCAGTCAAGATTAAGACATGTATAGATATGCAATATTTAGACAATGAGATAGACAAGTACTGGCAATTACTCTGTGAGAAAAGGGCTGGTGGGAGAAGTGTCTATCAGGGAGGTCACCTAAGTGTCTGACTCAGCAATGGATGGACAGTGGTGCTTATCAATGAGAGGGGGGACATTGGAAAGGAGCCAGGTTTGTGGGGGAGGGGAGACCATGAGTGTTTTAGCTATGTCCAACTTGAGGCGCCCTTATCAACACAGAAGGAAATATAAGAAAGCAACAGACAGATGAGTCTGGAGGTCAGAGGCAATACTCCTCTGGGAATATGTATTAGTGGGTTCCATCTGTGTGAAGGTGGTAGCCCTCAAAACCTCAGAGGAGGAGAGATTGCCAGAGGATAACAGATAAAATTTTTTAAAAAGGAGAAGGTCGGGGGGCCAAGCCTCAGAACTCCAATATTTAGTGGCTGAGTTAAGAACTATCACAGACAGAGAAGGAGCTACCAGAGAGGTAGGAGGAAAACCTAGTCAGGATGGCACTGAGGAAACCCTTGCAAGGCAGTATTTGAAGGAGTGACAATGGTCGCTGCCAAATTCTGCTGTAAGGGAAAAAAGATGACAATAGTAAATATTCACTGGATATAGTGACATTGGCAAGAGCTCTTTTGGTATATGAGGGAGGCTAAAGCCAGAATGAAATGAGCGTGAGAAGGAGGTGGTAAAATGAAGAACTCATACATAAACTCTGGCTCAGCTGGGTGGGAGAGAGGACAGCAGTACAAGACACAGGGGAATGAGGATGAGGTAGGGGTTGTTGTCTGTTTTCTTTTTATTGTCTTTTTTCCCCCTAAACCTGTGTTATTTTCAATAGAGATAGAGGTTTCACTATGTTGCCTAGGCTGGTCTTGAACTCCTGGGCTCAAGCAATCCTCCAGTTTTGGCCTCCAAAAGTGCTGGCATCACACGCAGCCCTGTTTTTATTTTCAACAGAAAAAAACAAGAGTGTTCAAAAGGCAACAGAAAAAACAAGAAAAACAAAAAAAACAAGAGTGTTCAAAAGGCAACAGAAAGGGTCTCCTAGGTTAAGTGCTAGCTATAAGGGGAAGGGGAGAGAGAAAGAAAGGATGAATAGTAAAAGAATCCTGAGGAGGGTAAAGGCAGAACTTTCCAAGGAAAGTGACAGGAATGGCCTGAAGTGAAGGAAGTTCAATGTCTTCAATGTAACAGGAGGAAGGAAGAAAAGGAGTTTGGTAACTAGAACAGAGAACCCTGTCTAATATTTACTGTCTGTAAAGAGCAGAAAAGACTTGTAATGATTAACCATTAATGCAGAAAAAGGAACAATGGAATAAAAAGAAAAAGGACCACATCCAGGGGCATCCAAAATGGGTGGTCAGTAATTTATGGAGAACTCAGACTTCACCGACACCTGAATAAGCATATCATCAGGTCGTTTGGGTCTAGCTGGACTTTTGCCAGACTGTTTAAACACAGATTACTAGAGTTTTGTTTTGAGAAATGAAAATACAACAGTAGAAATAGACAAGTAAATTCACTCTCAACTGATAAGCCTAAGACCAGAATAAGTATACTAAGATTGCAAATAAATTCTACTATCAAATTTAATCTTCCAAATATGTGACTAAGCTCTATTCTTTAACTCTTCTTTCACTCAATTTTTAAATTCTTCTTTCAAAATAATTTCAGGAAATTTCACCCAAACTGATTCTTTGATTTTTTTTTTTGTCTACCTAATAAGAAAAAATAAAATTACCTAAATGCAAAACTTACATACTTTTTATAACTGAAATTCTTTCTGTGAATGTAGGCTAAATCTTTTATAAAGAAATCTCAACATTGAAATTATTTTTATAAATTTAAAAAGTAGAAAATCATAATTCAAATGTTGGGTGACAAAGAACATCCAAGATGGGATCATGCTAGTTATTTTTTCCTACCATATTAATGGTACTTCTTTTCTCTAGTAGTATTCGAAATAGATTAGCTGTAACTTTATTATCATGGACACCTTGCCCAAGGCCACGGTTATCATCTTGCATGAGTCTTCGATCCATGATAACTTCAATCTGACCTAACAAACAAACAAACAGGCAAAACTGAGCAGGGTTATTTAATACAGATATTCATATTCATTGAAGGTCACTTAAATAGAAGGTATGATGTCTTGATTTAAACTTCCCCTTTAATCAAAGAGTTGGATCTATATAACACACTATATCACAAACTGTCTTTTGATAAAAGCTCAAAGCAACTAGTACAAATTCACAAAACAGGATAACAGCTCTTTTCTTTATTAATGTTTAGTAATATCTGATTAGATATTTTAAAATGGGACAGAACAGATCAAAATTTAAATGAAATTTTTTTTCAAAAAATTAACCTAAATAGTAAATTAAGTTCTCCAAAACTTTTAGTGGCAGCGTTTAGAATTTTAAAATGCTCACAATGTTTATTAGGAAATACATATCACACATGGAGTAACAAGAGATATACAGATGAACAGGCTCTAAAAAAGTCTTGCAAATAAAATTTAGTTACTTGATCTGTGGCAATTCTCTGAAGATGCCCTAGAATATGGAGATACTCACAGTATACTCCCTTTTCTGTCAGTGTTAGTGGGCACAACCACTGTTCTGTCTTCTCTGCCTTAAAGGCAATTATAATTGGTTCCTTCATTTGCTATCCAATAATTCAATAGTTTAAGCTATAAGCTAATAATTAGCTTATAAAATTAAAAAGTGAAAAAACAAAAACAGAGCCATATGTATACATTTAAGATTATACTCAAGTAAAATTTAGAAAGCTAAAATTGTATGTACTTTAAAAATACAGACTGGATGGCTGAGGCAGGAGGATTGCTTGAGCCTAGGAGTTTAAGACTGGCCTAGGCAGCATAGTGAGACCTCATTTCTACATAAATAAAAATTTTTAAAAAATTAGCTGGGTGTAGTGGTGGATGCTTGTAGTCCCAGCTACCTAGGAGGCTGAGGCAGAAGGATTGCTTGAGCCCAGGAGGTCAAGGCTTGCATGAGCCGTGATCGTGCCTCTAGCCTGGGTGATAGCACAAGATTCCCAACTCAAAAAAAAAAAAAGGCAACACAAAACAGAAAAACATCAAAAACCACAACATACATATTCATTCATATCCATTACTGTACTAAATGATTATTTGGCACAGAAGGGAAACAGCTAACAAAAAAGACTTTAACATCTATTATTCTTATACAGTCATGCCAGCTGTTTAGTTTCTTTCTTCTTGGTTTAGTCATCCAGTACCTACAATTACCAGTGATGAGTAGAATTGGCATTGTCACTACCTTCACAATGTAGCAGACAACTGTCCAGGACTCGGTCCCCAGGCCCAGGGGCCAACACCATGCAGCCAGTCACTTGGCACCCAAATTAGTACATCAACCTCTTGGCAATTTCTAACTCTTCTGCCTCCAAAAGTTAGCTCATGTAACATGTGACACTTAGCAATTTCCTGGATAGTACTCAATTTGCTTTTATTCTAATACTAGGGTCTTTGGATATCTACAGCAGAAGCAGAGGAACTTTATTTTTCAGTTTGTCTTTAATGGGAAGTGAGGTAATATTGCTTGGTCCATCACTGCTTAAGTCCTAATGTCTAGTCTTTTATTTAGGTAAAAATTTTTGAGAGTTTAAGGCAAGGCTTAAAAATGGGTGGTTCAAGAGACATGTATGGCACAAAGATGTTTTACATTTTTCCTACACAGTGGTTTTTGTTTTGTTTTTTAAATTATGCCAACATTTAATGATTGGATAACTTCACATAAAATTCCAGACTTCTGGACTCTTCTTCAAAAATTGAAAAATTTAGCAACACTGGGCCTCCAACCCCGTGGTAACAATTAAAGGGCACTAAGTAGCAGCTGCCCCACTTTATGTGGGGAACATGCTCTCAAGTTGGCTCAAGGCCTTGCCTCTCTCTATTGGAACCCTGATGTGGAGTCACTATTTTCATAACTGAATGCCTGTCTTTATAGCATGAATTCACATGAGTTTATCTAATGAAAGTTACAAAGAAAATGAGAAGTAACAATTTGTGTGTCTGTGTGTGGAAGAACAGAATGTATGTATATGTCTAATATAAAAAGTGGGTTTGTGTCAAAGGACACACCAGGCATCTGTACTCATTTATTGTCTGCTCAGCTCCTTCAGACATTTACTTTTAGCAACTGTTAGTATGTAAGAAAGAAGAGCAGTGATAACATAAATGATAACCAATTTAAAATATGTATTATAAGGGATCAAAGTCTCTCAATAGCAAGTTTTACAGAAACTAAACAGTATCTTCTATTTTCTCTCACTTTCTCTGCATCACTTTCTCTCTTTTGGAATCATTAAAAGCCCTACCTTTTTATCCTCATAACTCTTATCATTTCTACTCCCTTTCTTCTTTCAGGTGGTAGTAGGAAGGAAAGACCATGATTCAGAGAAGGACTTAAGCTTGAGTTATGACTTCCCACCTTTGCAAACTCAGGGAACCTATCTAAATTTTTGAAGTCTGAGTGTCCACAGCCATCAGATAACAATGATGATGGTGACCCCGGCAAACAACAAGCTATAAGGAGAAGCAAATTATCTTTAAAAAGCAATCATGAAATGGAGTTTTAGGTCTCCTGTTCTTCATCTGAAGACTGAGGTGATTCATCATTTTATGCTGTTCTCATAAAACACAAACTTAATTATTTGGTTGCTGAGATACAAAAATCGGGAAAGAACACCGAGGGGTTTTAACTGCAGATTATAATACATTTGACCAACATAAAAATTATATACTTGGAACTGAATCCTTTCAGAGCCAAAAAAAAAAAAAACCCCAAACAACACATACCACTGTTCAAACTTGATACCCCTAAAGACTGAGCAGAGAGCAGTGTCAAACGATGCTCAGCATCCTGGACATATGCCATTGTGGTCATCGGATACACATTTGCTTGAAGAGGCAATTTGCTCATTGTCATTCTAGGTTGAATCTATAAAACCAAACAGTTCTCTTTACAAAAAGTGCTATTTACATATGTACTTTAAAAAACTTGTATTGAACATAGATGACTTTTTTCCTAAAGAGAAAAAGATACAGCTTCCTCTTGGGGAACAAATAATCTAAAAATTAAAACACCATTTAAAACAATATGAAGAAAAACCATAAGATCTTAGAAAACAATTTTTAGGTGGAAAAGGTAGAACCTGTCCAGATTTTAAAAACAGGCATTCCCATTTAAATTCATCAGAATAAAAATGCTTAACAAAAGTTTTCAAGCTCTCCAATATTTGCATAAAACAAATTATAAAGGTATTAAGTATTCATTTCTCATCTAAATCTAACATACTGCTTTTGTAATGAATGCTAAGCATAATAGCTCTCTATCCTCTTTCAAGAAATATCTCTTATTATTCTTGAATAGGTTTTAATAAATACCACAGATCTCACCATCAAATCCAAGATAATACATTATAATCAAGTACATATTTATATTTAAAAACCATTCAATGCTACTCTTCTTGAATAGTTTCAATGTAGATAGCTCTAAATTCCAATTTTTCATAATCTAGTACCTGACTGCATGAAACATAACTATTTTTTGAAAGAGATTGTCAGTCACCCCAAAGCCAGTCTGGGTCTCACAGTGACTGACTCTAAGCTCAGGACTCTGTTATCAGCGAATCTTAATCACACCACATAAAAAAGCCATTTCATTTAAACATACACTTAATATGAGTTTAACATGAAACTCAAGAAAAGGAGAGGTACCAAGTTAACATAATAGTTAACTTGTACTGAATTAATATTTCACAAATCTTATCTTTAATCTTCCCAACAAACCTGCATTATGTCCCTCAACTTACTGATTGTACAGGGTTGAAAATTCCTATCTACTTATAACCTATTAATGTGATCTTACTTTGAAATAGAGTCTTGGCAGAAATAGATGAGGAACTACTGATTAGAGTGGGCCCTAACCCAGTGATCGGTGCCTTTATAAGAAGAGGGAAATTTGGATATACAGAGACACATACAGAGACACAAAGAGAAGACGTAGAGATTGGAGTGATGCATCTACAAATCAAGGAATGCCAAGGACTATCGGCAACCACTAGAAGCTGGGAAAAGGCAAGAAGGAGATTTCCCTACAGTCTCTGGAGGGACGATGGCCCTGCTGGCACCTTGAGTTTAAATGTCTGGCCTGCAAAACTGTGAAAGAATAAATTTTTGTTGTTTTAAGCCATTCAGTTTGTGCAACTGGTATGGCAGTCCTAGGAAATTAATAAATTGATGAAGAAACAACTGTAAGATGTTAAAAAAAGAAAGAAAAGAAAAGTTAACTTTAAGGAATTATCTATTTCTCTTTACTAGTCATGATCTTCTCACCCAATTAATTTTTATACATAAACTTATTTCAAAAAGCTTAAAACTGCCACAGCTGTTATATTGCTACCCCCACGCTCCACATTTGGGGCTAGATTTCTAGTTTTGTCCAAGTACTACTATTTCCAAGCTTAAAAAATGGCTGGGGGGTGGGGCACACAACAATAAGGGTGCATGATCCCAATCCAGTCAAAGCAAGGTACAATGGGAGGCCCAAACTTCACCTATATGTAAACTACTTATGTATCCAATCCTGATGTGTACCCTACATCTTTAAAGTAAAAAAAGAAAATAAAAGCAGAAATATTTCGATCACAGACTTTAAAATATTATTTTCCTATTTTATTCTAATGTTCAATCCTCAGAAAGAAAATTTACATTTTTAGTTATTCAGTTTTACTAAGTTCTCTCATTCATGTATACACCCACACATACAAATAATTTCTTCTGTAAGATTTTAAGAAAACACTTTCTTTTGTATACAAGAAAAATGAATCATCATAAAGTTGAGATTTCATTTGAAAACCAAACGGCTACAGTAAAATTAATATGCTAATTCAGAATATATGCTGCAATTTTTATGCTTTGGAAAAGGTTTAAATTTATCTTCTGCAGGAAGTCATAGAAGAAAACATTATCACAATCTTTTCCACTCACCCCCAGTTGAAAATTAGACAAGTAATTATTGTGAAACTACACCTACTCATAGCCAGAAGTTTCTAAAATGCTAATGTTTCAAAAACATGCTCATGTTTTTAAACAGTATTATTTCAAGGATATGGAGTCAAACACATATACTCAGAATACAGAGATTCAGGTAGCAATCAAAAGAGCTCTATGAAATTGGGGAACTAGCCGGGATCGGTGGCTCAGCCTGTAATCCCGCACCTTTGGGAGGCTGAGGTGAGGGGATTGCCTGAGCCCGCGGGTTTGAGACCCGCCTGGGCAGCAAGACCTCATCTCTACAATAATTCAAAAAATCAGCCAGGCGTGGTAGCGCGCGCCTGTAATTCCGGCTACTTGGAAGGCTGAGGCGGAAGAATCGCAGAGCCCAGCAGGTCAAGGCTGCAGTGGCTGGGAGCGGCCACTGCACTCCAGTCTGGGTGACACAGTGAGACTCCAACTCAAAGAAAAAAAGAAATTGGGGAACTGACAATCTGGAAAACAAATCTATGAATAACATTTTTTATTATTTAAAACTACTTCACAAAAATTTTCATCAAACACACACTTGCCCACATTTCTAAATGAATATGTATATGTATACCTATGTGTGTACCTAAATGTACATGTGTGCATGCACACACACACACACACGCAGGTCAATAAAGAGGGGGGAATAGTTTTCCTGGAATTTAAAAGAGCTCATTATCATGTAAAAATATATAAGGAATAAACTATGTGTAGACCAATTCCTTACGAGGAAAATAAAAAATATAAACCTCAGTCCCTCATTATGCTTCTTTTCTGGTAGATAAGTTCATATATATTTTAGCTTGAAGGTACTAAATATGCAAAATGGTCACCAGAGCTCCCTTTGGACAAATAAATCCTTACAAATAGATGTTCCAAAAAATAGTCTCTCAAATATTTGTTCTAACTTTGGGTATCTGATTAAATATAGAACCTACAATTGTCTGTTAAAATTCAGTTTTATTTTAGAAATAATTTGCAACTTTAGGTATTTTTTTCCCCAAAGGATCCAAAATAAAATGGCCCATTATCAGATATAGAAATTACAAACTAATATAACCATTACTTAGACATTTTCAAGTAAAATTACCTGGTATCCATTTAGGTCAGTATAAAATCTATTTTGGCTTTTTATGTCAGAAGAAATTCTCATCGCAATCTCACGATTATATACTTTTCGTATGTCCACAATATTGGAAACTTCCACAGACTGTCCTTCTATCCCTAAATTGAAAAGAATATACAGATTAATAGAAAGAAATTAATTGCCCCAACTTTCTTACTTCTTCCAAAGTTACATACTCTTCTGTTTTCTACTTCCTATCTTACCATCTCTCATATACTAAATTACATCACAACTTTTCCTTTCTAAAAATATCAGATGGTAGACAGCATTTATTCAGAAGCACCTACAATTCAACAAAAGAATGAAGAAGTTGAGATAAGATAAATACATATGATATATAACATGTAGATGATTCTCCAATGAGTTCTAAAGGGGAAAGAGAACATGAAATGAGAAAAAGTCAAACCCACCATAGGCCAGTCCACCTCTCATCTGCAGCCCTATCCCCCACAGAGTCATTCTGGCCCATTTCTTTCACTTTTTCTTCATACATCAGAAACAAGGAGTCAGTAAACTTTACATTCTGTTGGTTCAAGAGGCTAGGTATTATTGCTCACAATCTACCTGGGGTGCCAAAAAAAAAACCAACCATATTTTAAGAGATGTTATCTTTTTTTTTTGGATTTAGAGTCTCACTCTGTTGCCCAGTCTGGAGTGAAGTGGCACGCTCATGGCCACCACAGCCTTGACCTGCTGGGCTCAGGTGATTCTTCAGCTTCAGCCTTCCAAGTAGCTGGAACCACAGGCATGAGCCACCATGCCTGACTGATTTTTTGATTTATTGTAGAGACGAGGTCTTGCCATGTTGCTCAGGTTGGTACTTTTCTAAGTTGAACTGAATTATGGTAACAATGTATATAGTATGATGTTTGTTCAAAAGATGACAGCAGTAAAATGAATGTTAGCGTCATGAGACAGGACAGTCAAAGAAAATGGCAGAGGTATGGTTATTGTTTGAGGAACCCAAACCCATTTTGAAGTGGTATTTGAAATTTGAGAATGTCGTAGAAGTACAATGACAATGGAGGTGTGAGTATGCAACAGAACCTCCAATATGTTTAACAACTGCATGTATTTGTGATAAGTTTGAGATGCATGGTCCTGTGTGTGATGTGCACAAGGGAAGATCTGGGAAGCCTCTCACAGTAACAAGTCCTGCAATATTTGCCATATTCAGAAGTATCTGGATATTGATAGTAACCACTTGAGCACCTCTTGTGATTGCAGAAGTCAAACATGACTTGTATTCATCTTTTGTTATCAATATATATTGACTATTACAATTTTAATACAGTTTTTTCCTTTCTTAAAATGTATACACTTTTTTTGGCACCCTCTGTATTTCTAGAAAAAGAGACAGGCGATCCAATGAGATGATTTACAGCTGCAACTGATATCAACATATGAGCATTTGTGGACTATATTCTGGAGAGCTCTCCAGAAGTTAAATCAATTTTAGTGAGTTTGGACTCTCTTAGGATCCCTTGAAGTGATCCATTTTTCCCCTTTGCTATATAAAGCAGAGGACAGCTTGAAAACGTCCCTGATATATCACCATTTTTTTCATATAAGCTTAAAGCACTTATTGGTTTCTGCTATTCTACCCTAACTGTATTTTCAGGTCCTCAGTGAGGTCTTGGGTCAATTTCAGAGATGGAAAGAGGAGTTGGGAAGAAATCCAACACTCAGTAAAGACTGAATATATATGTGAGATATTACAGGATCTTCTAAGAAAAAAAATCACTTAGAAGAGTGATCATAAGAAGAAAGACTGGTTCTGTTCTACTTCATAACTCCGAAGATTTCTGAGGTTCCAAGAACTCTGGAAACTTACTCATAGTTTTACTTTCATTATCTATTTCTCCCTACTCCTTATGTCAATCTTTCACTCTGTGCTGATAATTAGCATACTCTTTAAAATACAAAGGGCTATGTAAAGAAAAGTGAGGGTGAAAAGGGGAGTAAGGAAGACTTTTTTTCCTGGTAGCCAAAAAAATCCCCAGAGCTTAGAAGGTGAGGACGAACAGTTAAAGAAAGGAAGTTTAAACCTGTGGTGTTTGTAGAAAAGAATGCAAATGCTGTTACTGTAGGCACCATAGGCTTATGTGAAAGGCACAAAGGAGACTGTAAAATATAAATAACAATATAGTGATGAATAATACTAAACGGGTTAAAGCCTCTAGTAACAGAATTTCCAGAATGCTCACAGAACTTCTTTCTGGTATATACCGCTCTTTCAACTCAACAAACTCAACTGGAGTTGTTTTTGGTTTTCATAAAAAACTATTAGGAGTACAATCTCCTTTTTTTTTTTTTAGAGAGAGAGACAGGGTCTGTCTCTGTTGTGGGGGCTGAAGTGCAGTGGTGCAATCAAAGCTCACTGCAGCCTCTCAAACTCATGGGTTTAAGTGATCGCTTGCCTTAGCCTCCTGAATAGCTGGTATAGGTATGCACCACCATGCCTAGCTGATGTCTTTTTTTAAAATAGCCATGGTCTGAACCATTAACCTTTGCCAGTTACATAAACACATACATTTCCTTATGAGAGTTACTAGAAGGATGTGCAAAGACAGATGACCCAAACATCTCTACCACTCCTGGGAAGTTTAAGAAAAAAAAAAATCAAACAAATAGTAGTATCTTCTTTAACTAGAAAATATATTATTCGAAAAGCAAACTTTCATTTAATATGCTTACATGAATCAGATTTTTTGTAAAGCCAAATGAAACATATGTGGAATTCTAATAGTAAACAAGCATCAACAAACCAACCAAGTCACAAAATGTAAAACCCAGGATGACAGTGCTCATGTAGCACTAGAAAGCATAGCAGATGATTGAAGTAACCTCTGATTTGTAGAGTTTTTAATATTGTTTTGTGTTTTCTTCTCTCTAGATTAGACATTCTCTCAAGGATCAACCGAATACATAAAATGAAATAACGTCTTAATAAAAGAGGACATCATTATTTCAATTCATGTCTCCAAAAAACATTTACAAAGAACATGCTTCAAGGAAAACATACTTTTGTGTTACCTTTAGCAATAATAAGTTATTTCTGCTGAGAAAACCATCTTTCTTGAGCTCAGTATTAGAGTCAGATCCTGTCACTGCAACACATACTTAAAGTTTTTTAAAGGGAGTCTCTATGTCCATTCACAATTCAGCCAGACATATATTTATTATTTTTATTTACTTATTCATTTTCGAATCATGGAGTACATGTATTTGTTACATAAGTATACTGCATGAAGGTGTGGCGTAGGCTGTAAGACATTAATTTAAATTCTGTGCCAGGATAGACTTTTAAAATAAGATCAAACTTAATATGCTTATTATGAAAAAAACCAAATAAAATCAGGTGATATCCTGAATTCTCAATGAGAATTTATTATTTTTTAAAGAACAGCATATGTGTGTGTGTGAGAGAGAGAGAGAGAGAGAGAGAGAGAGGATTGGCAACTGTTCTGTAGCAAGAATTCCCTAAGTTGTGCCCTTCTCAAAGAAGTTCATGGAATAAAAGGGAGAACTTCCTGGGAAGCAAGGATATAAACCAGTGATACTTTACAGTCTGCTGGATTTGTGCAGTATGTGCAGCAAAAGTGTTACTTTTTACCGAAGTGGGTCTACCTGGGCATGGATGGCCAAGGTTTCTAAGTCCCTCTGGTTTTTCTTCAATACTTTACAAGATTAATCACTGGGGAGAGAGAGGGTTGATGCTATTCACAGGTTTCAACAAAGGGAAATAAGAGTTCTCTTGCTGCTAACACTTGTCTCCGTGGAGAAGGAAGAATGGAGATTGTTTATCCTTATTAATAAGCAAGGCAAGTTAGAACTGAGCTAGGCCGCAGGTGAAAAGTGGTAATAAAAAGGCAAAGAGAGTCATTTAGAAGGTTGAATATGCTGTAGATTCCAGCCTCACCCGTGGAGCTGGGGGAGTGTTTTTTTTTTCTTACTAGTGCTTGCCAGCATCTCAGACACAGACTATCTTCCACACCATCTTTGCATTCCAGTTCTTCAAAACATTTTAGGCATATGGTAAGTGCTGAATCACAGTTAAGATGGTAAAGGCTGTCCATCATGTAGAGTTTAGCTGACATGGGAGGAAAGCAAACTGGGAGACAAATAAAGATGAGGGAAAGTTGAGAGAATAAGGACTTTCATTTCAGGGAAACACATGCATGTTTGAATGCAAGTTCCTCAGGGTAGAAACCATGTATTATTTATCTTTCTGTTCCCAGCATGTAGAATGGGTACTATCAATAACTGCTGAGTGAAGGGTGGCAACTACATGGCAACAACAGCAACCAATCGTTATCGATATAGCTAATAGTTACGGTAGTACCATATGCTTAGAACACACTTTACATATAACAACTCGGTTCATCCTGACCCTGAACTGAAGATGAACTAACTTGCCCAAGGTCACAAGATGGACACAACCAAGACTAAATGTCTCAACCATCATGCCTCACTGGCAGACCAACTACTGGAAAAAGTGAAGTTACTCTGGGACCAAGGATTGCATGAAGCCTTGTAGTAACCCTGAGTAGAGAGGAGACCTCCAGATTTTTTTTTTTAAGGGAGAGGACACTGAACTGGGATCTGGTATGCTCCTTTTTAATTTAATTGATTGAAATAAGGAACAAGACTTACCAGACCCCCCCCCCAAACTCTCTTTAAAACAACCCAGACCATCCTTTTAAAATGGTACCCTCACTTTAGAAGCCAAGAAAGTAATGCATATTAAAGACACATACACTAGTGCATAGCAATTCTTCCTTACTGTACCAAGCTGAGTTGTGAAAATTTGTGAGCACAGGAAGCACATGCCAGCATGTGTACTGCTTACTGGTGCCAGGAACATAAAAAAAGGGGGGGGGGACCATATCAGATGACCATCAAGAGGGAAATCAATAAATAAAATCATATACACCCATGCTATGAAATGATGTATAGCAAATGAAAAGAATGAGGTAGCTGTCTGTCATGTCCAGAGAAGAAGATGAAAAAAGTTAAATGTAACATTGGTGGATATAACAGCCTTTGTGCTGAAAACAGACACAAACACAAAAACTCTGCATTTCTACAGGTATAA